TACTTGGCTCTTGCAACACGTTAACCATTGCCAATTATATTTATAGCTATTATAAAACTTGATTGTTCGACGAACAATCGGACCCTAGTCTGTGATATTGATATTCCAAGTCCAAGTCCAGTTGATTTAATGGTAACAAAATGTCCTTGTCATTGCACGAGTGCCTGAAAGATTTTTCCGAGAAATTGTATAGGATATAATTTTATATACAAATGTATGAGTGTGTGCAAATGGATAAGAGAACGCAGAGATAAAATTGCATAATGTAATCGTGATTTATGAATCCTTATACGCTTTTGTGTCAATCCTCAAGTGAAAATAATTTTAGTGGTCCGAGTTTTCAGTACCTACTTTAAAAAGGAAAAGGTGTACAACATGACATAGTGAGGTTATCAATTTTCCATACAGATACGAGAATATCAGTTCTCATTACTGAAACGATCGGGAAGATTTTGGAGATTAATTTCAAAATGTGATATTTATTAATTGAAATTGTTGCTCAAATACTCAATCATTTCCTCAATGCAATATGGTTGCTGACATCATGTATGATTTAGTGTGTTTTTTAGTATTCTCACGAGTACGAATTGGGAACCAAATGACATAAGTAGTAGGTACCTATACATATATGAATATTTCAGTGTGAATTCAGACCCAGTATAGTTTTAGTTAGCGGAGAAAATCATATTTGAAAAGGATCCAGGTATCCAGGTGATATCCCAACTTTCAGAGAAAAACGCCGATGAAAATCTGTAAAGAACTGTTATCGTCATGAGAAAGCAAAAACTCACAATCATTTCCACAAGTGTCCAATGGACTAAACAACAATGACTATTCTACTTTTGTTCTAAGGAACCAATCAGAATCGACCATTTTCACGGATTCTCCTGTATTCCAGCGATATTATTCATTGACTGAAATTTATCAGATTTGCTCTATCAATACAGAAGCCGAATTGACCCACACGTGACCAACCAACCTCGTTTATAAACGATAAAATTTTTGACGTCTATATTGACAATTATGTTGGAAGCCAGAATGATGGATACACTATGCGCAACTCTCGAGAGGCGCTCGTTTATTGTCTCAATCATGAAATATTTATACAAATACAACTCGTGATGCTATTTTTCCTGGAAATATTCGACTAGGTACAGACATACTGGCATTCGACGATTTTTTTCAATTATACCTGAGAAATAGATCCCATTGTGCTAGACGATTTGTTGCTCTCTTCGATCGAAAGTTTATTGAACACGGTTTTCCTCGAGGCTTTGTTATAAGTCCCCTTCTATTCCTTATTTATATAAATAACCTTCATTATTTTATATCTCCGACAATAAACGCCCTTTCCGCAGATGATAAAACATTCATTTGTCAAAGTGCAGACCTAAACAGTTTATGTACGAAATCGAAAGATATTATGAATTCAGCACAAACTTGGTTTACTCATAACAAAATGGGAATCAACTTAAATGAAAATCAATCTATCCTGGTTCCTTCGAAATCAAATATCACTCAAGACGATAGTGTGAAATTACTTGGTGTCCAACTAGACAATAGGCTCAACTAGGCTGCTAATATCGAATCACTAGCGATGAAACTATCAAGTATCACTTTTTTGATCCGACGTTTAAGGAATATTGTCAGTTCACATGTTCTCAGATCTTATTACTAGGTGTAAGTTATTCCATAGTAATGCATCTCACGGTATTTCACTATAGGGTGACTCATGTCATTCTCATAGAGATTTTATGTTGCGAAAAAGAGTTATTAGAGTAATTGCAAGGGTGCATTTTCGAAAGCACTGTCCCTCTCTTTTTGTGGGTTCCCAAATCATGCCAGTTTCTACACCTCTTATTCATAAATCTTTACTCGAAATCCATAATGCTAAAAACAATTAAACTGTTCAATCCGAATTGCACCCTTATTCCACTCGCAATGGCAACTCAAGTAATAATCAATAATTATACCTAAGCTCAGGTTACAGAGATCAAAAAGGAACTCAGTGAATCTGCACCTCTACCATTGTCGTTCTAGATGAAAACCTTTAGTTAGATAGTTAGTAGGCAAGATCTATAATAAGATACCTTCTAAGGTAAGGTGCCTGAATTTTTATCAATTTAAGAATAAAATCAGAGCTTTCTCACTGGAGAACTCTTGTGATAGACACTTTCCTAGTTATACTTTTTATACTATTTGTGTAGATTTGTGAATATATACACTTCTGTCCTGTATAGTACCATTTTATGTGATGATCAACCAATACAATGTTATCAGTATGGAAATAAAAATCTATCTATCTACTCCAACTCGTAACTTTAATTTCGCTCATGACATTGATTCAAAACTCCTCGCCTACGGCTCGAAAATTTTGATAAACAATGTCCATCGTGAAATTATTAGGCAACAAGCTTTCGTAAAAATCGCCAAATATTTTCGGCAAAATAGTATTACTTGTTGTACTACATATGATCATAGGAGAAAAACGGCTGAGTAGGTACTCTGCTCGATAATACAATGCTAATGCAAAAAATTGAAATACATCCTTCCGAAATGTATACATGGTGATTCATGAGGAGACTCACATGGCCAAATAGTGAATAGGGCAAATTGAGGCGAGTTGATCTGAATATATAAATGAAAGAATTTTCCATCCGATAACGAAGATTAATATGTGGAATCGCCATATAACTTTGATAGCCGATATTTCAGAAATGATTTTTCGTCATTTGCTGAAATTTGGCTTGACGCTTCTCTATCAAAACTATTCCATATTGAGAAAATGAAAATCCAGATCAGGACTCGAGAACAATTCATGTTTTATAATTAAATCGAAAAAGTTCACTTTGTGATCACTTTTCTTGGAAACTTTCATCAGATTCAGAACAGAGACTACATACTATAGGAACCGAAGAAAATTAAATTTCAGCACGTCAAATCTGCATTGGCTTTGCAAATGGCATCTTAATTGTGTTTACCCAGATAGCAATTGCTCTTGCCTTCGTATTTTTGTTCAAGTATAGGAGAAACATCAAGAACCAGTATAATTAACGTGAAAATTACCTTTATTAATGGTACCTACCTAAATACTCAGAAGTGTACAGGTAATCAAGAATTTGACCCCATAAATCGTTGAGTTGATTAAATCTCAGAATCAAATAACAAGTTTAAATAAGTCATCTCAAGTACGTCTTCACGTACTCTTGATCAGAAATTCCAGCTGGTCACTGGACCGTAGAGCTGACGAGTTCTCCAGTTCAGTGTCCAGATTTCAGTATCCAGCCAAACAGCAGGTGAACAAGTACTCAGTCTATTTTCGTGTGATACCAAGATCAAGAGTATATTACTCCATTTCAGACCCTCTCCTACTCACTTTACTTGATCAATATAGTCTTCCTAGTGGGTATTTTTCATGATTGGGAAGTGGTCTTCAATATTTATATACCTATTGTTCAATATTTACATTATCAAATAGGTTAACACTGTTGACGGGCATCATCGCGCCGTACGGCAAATGTCATTCGTTTCGTCATTCAATGTCATCCGTCTTGTCATTCGAAGTCATTAACTTGTCATTCTGTCATTCAATCGGATATTTCCGTGATAATGGGAATGTATTTTGCAATCTAGCATCTAAGTCTATAGTTCTTTTCGATTTAACCCTTTCTACGGTGGCTATTCTGACTTCATGTGCCCAGAAACCCGTTCGGGTAACAAACGTTTTTTTTATAAAGGATAGTTTGCCCAGTGAACGTAAGTTATTCTGATTTCCTTCTTTTCGACTTTCTCGATCAAGATGAAGGCGAAAGAAGGTATTTCTGTTTCTTTCTTGGTAACGATCGAATCTCGACTAAAAGGCCATCCATACTGGAAGGTAAGCAATCAGGTATATTAGCTCTTCATATCAGATCTTTTCATAAGACGATCTACGGGCCTTTTGGGACACCTCAAATTCCGGCGAATCAACGCCTGTTGGTTAGACCATCGTACGTCGCCACGTTATTCAACTACTTGGCAGAGGGGAATCCTCAAGGATTGTAATCACGACATCGGAGATCACTGATCACTTCTATCGTCAGATTGTACCTAGCACCTTGCCATCCAATGCTGCGACGAAGTATCATTGGAGCACACGGATCCCCTTGTAACTGGTTGGATCGAAACTACTCGAGTTTCCTTTAAAAACAACAGCCTCCAGGTTGCACGGCTTCATTCCTGTTCAAGGCCCTCTTTCCTGCGTGCGGCCTGTTCTGGCCCCATTCCGAGGAATGCTGATTCACTATCAGGTTAGATCTAGCCATGTAGATATTTTGCTGGGAGGACATTATCAAGATAAAGAAACCACTATTATTACCACTCAAGAATAACAATTAAACAGTTTTATTATTACTTCTTCTAGTTTTACCATGACAGTCTCTCACATCTGTGAACTCATATATTGGCCAATATAAGTGGATAGGGGGGTTGATCATACAATGAGTGAGTGTTCATTCTTGGACCTCACAAATTTTCAAACAATAGTATGAAAATCATTGATCTATATCAAATAACAAGCAAAATACATTCGTAACTTATTAAAATGCACAGTGTGGTGATACGCTTCCCATTTTATGTAAACGATCGACCTCAGGTCCAGTAAATAAGTGTTGTTCACCTAAGACTTTTCTTTCAACTAATTATTTCGGCTTATGTAAACTGAGTGGGGCCTGACTAATATGCAGGACCCCACCGATATGCGAACCCAAACCTAGCTAACCAAAATTAGAGCTGCCGTGCCTATAACTTTAGTAATACCATTTCCTGAAGGTAGGTAAGGTAGATAAACGTTATAGCAGATCAAATGAAGATTCATTTCAAGAATTGTTGATTCTACTGCAGGAAAAGAATATAGAGTAGTTGAAAAGTATGAACTTCAGTTAAAATAAATTCTGATAGCTCAGAAAGCAAATCCGTCATCCTTCGATGTCCCGATGTTATTGAGAGAAAACCTCACTCACCAAATGCTCTTCGCTGAGATCCCCGTGCGTGAATACAATGAGCCACCAGACGATGGCGAAGGTCAGCCAGGACAGGAGGAAGTTCATAGCGAATACCAGCAGCGTCCAGCGCCACTGGGCATCCACCAGCGTGGTGAAGATGTCCTGCAGGTATTTGCGTCGACGTTTGGCAACGTTGCCCTGCACCACGTTGCAGTCACCGTGCTTGAAGACGACGCGCTTACGCAAGCGGCGCGCATTGAAGCGGGATTGACGGAATCTGGAACAGAACGAAGAATTTATTAGAGCCTAGTCATCACTATACGGAAAATATTGCCACGGTGGAAAGTCAAGAGCATATGAAATTGTTTCGTAGTTTGTTTTGCCAGAAGCGTGGTGGTCATTAGAGTAGTGTTCCTTCCTCCGAACGGAAAGACCGGTGTTCGATCTCTACTCCAGCTAATCTTTTTTTAATTTTTTTTTTTTGAAGTAATCAATGGAAAAAATACTACGGAGGCATTTATTGGTTGGGCCGATAGTGATTTCAATTATGTTTCTTCTCATGATCGGCCAGAAATTTTCAGTTTCTCGCGCCCAGTGGTGCCAAGAATGTGTTCTGATGTTTGCATACAGCTGATCGAGAAGTGAACGTTCCTGATGTGTTATACAGAGGTATTGTTTGTTTGACACAGTCAAATTCGACATAAGTATCTGCTTTGCTAATTAAATGTTAGGAAGTTACTGGAGTCTCATAGAAGATTAGGAATCCTGACATTTTTCATTATGACCCTCTCAGAATATCGGCTTGTCGGTGAAATAACGTCCCAGTGGTCACAATATCGATTCTCTATCTATTAGAATGTCAATCTTCTGTTGACTCATAACACAGTACATTATATTTCAAGGATAATATACTGTGCTTATAAGTCGCCAATTTTTACTCCTGGCTATTGGTCTAATATTCCTCTGACGAGCAACTAAAAGATTGGGCTAACTATAACTGTGAAAATCGAATAGAAATTGGATTAGTTATGGGATCCACGAGTAATTCGATTCTGAATTCGATCTAATAATCTGGATCACGACGTTTATTTTCTTGATCAGTTTATATGAACCATGGTTATATGAAAAATAATCGAAACACATAGGTAAAGCAAGTAGAACGTATTTTGTCTTTAAATTTCCCCTAAGCTTCCATATGGAGATAATTTGCTATTGTTATCTCATACTAACTTTACCTCTTGAAGGACTCAGAATATTCTGTCCAATGTTCGTGAAGGTTATCCTCGTAACCCTGGAGGAACCTGATGGAATTAACTGACATCGTTTGATGAAGAAACTTGCTTTTGTGAATTTTTCCGAAATTTCTTCTCTTGAACATCGTAGATATCGACGCAGACTGTGAATGCTCGACAACATTAATTTACTCGTTTCTATTGAATTATTGTAAATGGAGTGTAATCATTAATCAACAATTTCAATGCGATGAATTTGCTTGGAATGTTGAGCAGAGAGAAGTGATAACCTTATATGATATCTACTTAGTTTATAAATATATTTTTCACATCATGATTAAAGGAGATACAAGTGATGACTTCTTTTTTTACTTTTCGTTCTTGTCAACCTCACAATGTTTTCAACTATATGAACAAGGAAGGGACAACTGCGATATTAATAGTATGCAACAATTTCACATAATACTTATACAAGGTGATTCATGGGGAGACTCACATAGCCAAATGGTGTATGGGGGAAATCAAGACGAGTTGATGTATACAGGGTGTTTAAAAAAACTGACCCCCTTGCTAGGTTAGGTGGTACACTGCAAAATAAGTTGGGTTTATTCCGTCAAGAAATGTAACGGCATCCGTTTCCAAGATACATGGTGTTGAAAAATATGTTTTTTTTTTCATACAACCCAACTTATTTTGCATCTACCTACCCAAGCAAGTAGGTCAGTTTTTTAAACACCCTGTATATATATTGTATATCGTAAATATAGAGTCTAGCAGTTATTAACAAGAAAAAGACAGGCCCAGACGCTTACTATCAAAGTAGCTTTGTACGCTTGTATAGAAGTATCTTGTTCATTAGTTGTGCGATTCAACTGGTCATTTAGATTTCGATTGAAACAGCTATCAAGTCTGCTTTCCAGCGGTGATTGGATTATAATGTGATGTAAATACGTAACTATCTATGAGGATACGATCTACAATATATATACAAGGTGTTTCAAAAAACCTGACCTCCTTGTTAGGGAAGGTAGAACACTGCAAAATTAGTTGGGGTGTCTGATACTGGACCATCCTTATTCGTTTCAGCATCATCTTTTACCTCAAAATCAAACATTGCTTGCTCTTGTTCTGTCGGCACTACTCTCAACTTATTATGAACAAATTCAAACTAACACTGCATTTCCCATATACTTTTTTTACTTTATACCGATCATTCGGTATCAGGGTTAGGTTAGATACTTTGATCTCAACTTTCCATCTGATTTCTCTCATTACATTTTGCATAACAAAATCACCAATATCGAATGGTTTGACTTCAGCTTTGACACGCTCAGTGTATTTTTTTGCTTTTATTCAAATGATTTTGGTGACCCTTTCATCAACTGAAGCAATAGGATGATTTTCATACATGCAACAAGTTCATACTCTATTGAATGTGCTGAAAACGGGAGCAGATTCAATCCCGAAACGTCCAGAGATAAGTGAGAATTTGATATTTTTCCTATATATTTATCTTCTCCAAACCTGTTTCAAAACAAAGTGTTACTGATCGGAACATTTTTAAACGCAGAGATATTTTGGGGCAGATCATCTGATTTCTTCTCACTACACGTATATTGAAATAATTCTCAAATTTTCATTTCATATAAACTTGAGAAAATCCCAAAAAATCTGGAATAATGAATATACCACCTCCTTGATCAACTTTTACTTGACAGAAATTCAACTTTGTCCCAAGCGGTCCCAAGGTAGGGAAAGAATGGATATTTATATGTGAAATACAGGTAGGAAATGTAGATATCTTCAATAAGTTAAACGACATAATTGTTCGAATGTTCCTTTTATATATGATTTTAGTGATGATATGATATGGTGGAACAGTACGAAATAGTTACACCAGAAAGAAAATGATGATTCATTTACAGCTTGGTCACGAAGAAACATTTTTGGATTGAGTAGACATGCAGTCAACTTTAGAAAAAAATAACTTACCTCAGGATAAATGTGAGTGTGATATTTCCTTTATTTGCGCATGGAGGAAACGCAGTGTCCACTTTGTTCCCATTCATGATTTCCATTTTGCCCACAACACAATTCAGACAGAAAATGATGATATGCTGACTACTAGATTTCACTCAAAAATATTTAATAGCAAATTCAACACAAAAATTATATGAAGGATTAGATAACTACCATAAGATCTCTATTTAATTTTGGAGATTATGAATTTAATAGTACACCTATAATACTAAGAGCTGAATACGTCTTATGGATACAATGATTAGCTCGTCCTGATAACAAAAAGATCATTTATACCCTATAATAGCCTATTCATAAATGTTACAACTCGTGTTACAAAAATAGTTGATCTCAAAATAAAATTGTTTGACTTCGCCTATTGGTAGTTAGATTAGCCACAGACAGTTTTTTTTCTATACTTATAAAACATCTGATGGAAGAATAGTATTCACCATGTACCCAATGCTGTAATGTGCATCCAATTTAACTTGTTATTACCGACGATATCGATAACATTCTGTTAAATTGATGGGATTTCTATCAATGTCTGACATTGGCTTTATGTTCTGACAATTGAAATAGGATTATCCAACCGGTGCATAATAATTAATGAATGTGAAAAAAAACTATCAATGCAGATTATCCATTTAAGATAATGCAGATTATTAATTTAGGATAATGCAGATTATTCATTTAAGATAATAAGTATCTACGTCAACTGCAGATTTTCAGAATATTGTTGATGATCGCTATTACAAGCAACCAAAAATGCATGGAATAGTTTTGTTCAGATTAATCAGGACAATTTTGGCCATGGCGGCAACTTTCAAATCAATGAAAAAGTTGAGTCAAACATGAACTACTGAAAGCTAAACGTTATATATTATATAAAAGAAGGATGTTCATTCTACTCCAAAATACAATGTGGTTACCCATGAGGCTGGACATGCTGTAAATTCATTTGCTTTTCAAGTATATGGGTACAAGGGGAGCATCTCGTTGCAGCCACATCTCGTTGCAATCACATTATGTTCAAAACATATCTCGTTGAAGCCACATTTCGATGGGCCAACCGTCTCCGATCGTACCCGAACGATGCGCTGTTTTCACATAAAATTCAAATATCTCGATTTCACTGAAAATGAGATATTGTGGCCCTAACGAGACATTGCGGTACACCTTAATCTAGATCAAGCCACAATTCATTTGAGCTCCATCTCGTTCAAGCCACATTCCGTTCGAGCCACAAAATAACTAATGGCCCATGCACCATAACATTTTCATCAAATTCAAGATGTGAGCACCTGTGAAAAGAGCCTATATCGATCTTACGAAGGATTCCCATCAGGTGATATCTTACCCACAAAAAAAGATTTCTCGTTCCAAGAAAATATATTGTTTCAAAAAGAATCACTCTGAATGAGAATATAATTTATAATCCTGAATAAATACCCTTGAAAAGAGCATTTTGCTTTTCACAAATCGATATTCTAATTTCTTCGACTTCATAGCTTCATCGAAGAATACATATTCCATTCAAGAATATTTTAAATCTATTGTAAAAAAAATATTGATACTTGTATCAAATATCACTATTATCTTGATTTTATAATTTTATCGGATTCAATATACAGTCATATTGTTGGGTTCATATCAGAATTCCAACATGGATTTGTAAAAGCTCGTAATACGATCTCAAACCTCTGTACTTTTACTCAATATGTTTCAAATGCATTTTATAATATAAAACAGGTGGACGTGGTTTACACCGACTTCAGTAAGGCTTTTGACAAAGTGTTGTTGAGGAAGCTGGACCAATTTGGAATTTCCACTAAACTTCAAAGCCTTCTGAAATCTTACCTGTCGGATAGAAATCTATATATTGAGTATGAAGGAGGAAGGAGTTTTGAGTTATCCGCATGTTCTGGAGTACCACAGGGATCCAATCTAGGGCCGCAACTGTTTCTCATGTTCATTAATGACATATGTGATTCCATTCAATCGAATAAGCTCCTTTTTGCTGATTACATGAAAATATATAGAGACATTCATGACATAACGGACTGCAGTTCTTTACAACATGATCTGTCTATCCTTGTGAAATGGTGTAACTCAAATAACTTACCACTCAATATCAGTAAATGTAAAGTGATGACATATTCACGTAAGTATCCTATTGTACACAACTATATGCTAAACGATAACATTGTTATGAGGGTGCATGAATGTAAAGATTTGGGAATAACTTTCGACACGAAGTTGACATTCTCTTCCCACATAGAAAATATTGTTAATAAATCAACTCGCCTACTCGGATTCGTTATACGTATAATTGCAAAGAATTTCAATCACTCAAAGCAGTGAAATGTGTATACTTCTCTTTGTTTAGGACGAAAATGGAATACGCCAGCCAAATATGAAATCCCTATCATAATAAGTATATTGAGAAACTTGAGAACATTCAACGTGAATTTTTAAAATTTATTTATTTCAAAGTGCACGGCTCGTATCCTGTGAGACACTATGATTATCACCTACTTCTGAATGAATTCAATATTGTCTTTTTAAAAAAACGTCGTGAAATTGCTGCTCTCCCCTTCATCCATAAAGTTATCCACAATGGAATCGATTTATCAACTTTGTTCTCTTTCTTAATTTCAATGTACCTCGCTCAGTCTCTAGAACTAGTCTAACTTTCCATATTGATGTACCTAATTCGCAGCATCATTTTCAAAATGGTATTACTTATATGTGTAGATGTTTCAATAATTCACCCTCAGTAGATATATTCTTTTTGAGTTCTGGTCACTTCAAGAAAGCTCTGTATAGGCCCATATCGAACTAATATAATCATTGGTTGAAATAGTTTTTTTCTTTTCTGTTCATTATCATACTCATAGATATTCATGTTATAGTCATAGTGTTACACTATGCTTAGATAAGTGTGTGATGCACATTCTCCTTTTGTTATATACTCCTGTAATTGGACTTTTAGTTGGATGTATCACTTCAATAAATAAATATGGACTTTTACAAAAGATTAAGAAATAATCAGTTTGTTTTGTTTTGCCGTCTTCCGTTACCCACTTTATTTATCGCCCTGATTCAGAAAACACCCTGTATACCT